ATTATAGAAAATTGTGGTATAGAAATGATCTATCAGAATTCATGTCTATCAACAACTTTTAATATAATTTCATAAATCATGTCTATTAATCCATTAACCCACTAACTCGTGGTTAGAATACTAACTGCAGATTTCCGTGTACCAGCCACCCCCCATTCAAACTAATTCAGGGGCTTGCTACCGTATCAGGTTACAACCACTTCAATTTGCAGTTACACTCCACTTAAAAGTGCACTCATCCATAACGCGATATGCAAACAACCCCATTTAACAAGACCGACATTCCATTCAAAGGTGCAGTCAGGCGCACCAGCTAACAAAACTGCACAAACACTAAAGGATGGAACCTTTTTGCACCCCCATACCAAAAATAGTGTTGCTTGATATTACAATCCAACCGTGAATAGGTGCTATTACCAAGCCCTTTTATCCATATCCCTCCAGCTAGAGTAGCTCCAAGTATCAGTCAAAGGTGATAAATGGATCAGCCTCTTCCTTTAAATTAAAATGTTACTTCCCTGCAGACATTTCCTGTATTTTATGTAACCAGGTACTTGTCCCAAGTTTTTATTCAACATGTAAAAAGAACTTTACCTCACTAATAAAACTAACAAACGCTATGCAGTGTATGTAAGCAACCTTTAACCTACTAACAAAACTAACAGTGCTATGTCCAGACCCACGCGACCTTGAGTGGATGAATGAATGAAACTGACAGGACTACTTGAACAGGTGTGACCACGAAACTGAATGAATGAATGAATCATAGAAGATAGAAACCACAGATGGATGCAACCATGAAACTAACTAAACAAGCGATAGTAAATAAAATCCACAGACAATCAAAACCGATGGGGACTCCCACTTTTATTCAAAAAACACAAGATGCCTTTTTCTAATTTTAAAATTCTAACCTTGAAAATAACAAGACTAACACCTTTGAATTATGCAAGGGCAAACCAGACAGACACTCTAATTTCATTAACCATTAACACTCAACAATAACCGCTAACATTTAGCACATGTTTAAACCATCTCCGATTTCCTGCAAAACGTTTTTTGTACAATATCTACTTAACACTCCAGTGTTAGAATGTTAATGTACGCTTGAATTCTGTATAAAAACGGCTGCTTTTGAGCTATGATTTTGGGATTCTATTTCGCCTTACACTGTGCTACTGTGAATGTACAATAAAGCGGCTATTTTTGCCACTCACTGATCCTGGTCGTCTGGTTCTTTGAACGTGATCTCACAGAAATTAAGGGGCCTATGGGAAAAGCGGGGTTGGGGAAGACCACCAAAAAATATCACTTAAAATCACTCAAAACTCACTCAAAAACCTAACACAACGGATAGCACAGTTTGAATAAATATTTAATTCATACGAAATAAAAGTAAATGCAAACAACCCCATTTAACAAGACCGACATTCCATTCAAAAGTGCAGTCAGGCACGACAGCGAAATAAAAGCAAATGTAACATCTTGTCTTGAAAAAATGTCAAGATGACTTGATGAGAGAGGAAGTTTTAAGGTTGCTCTGTTGTTAATGCAGGGGCTGAGGGGGTCATCATCATCACCTTCAGTGTCAATTATGGTTGCAGGGTTAGGGTATAAAATAGTTAATCCAGAAGTGAATGGCTGTGGTTCATTGTCTTCTGACTGTTTCTTGGGGGTTGTCTTAAAAAAGACATCCAATTTTTGCTGCTTTGCCCTTTTTCTTTTTTCATGAAGAAGCTGTTCATAGAGTGCCAAATAAGATCTTCTTCCATGAACTGCTACCCCGCTGCATTCTACCTTGTAATCGTTGTTCTCTAACAGCTGCAACTGCTTCACAATTTACCTCAGGATAGAAGACAAAACAGAAGTGGTGCTACATCCTGGACTTCATCATCTTCATCTCCAGCTTCTACTTCCCCCTCAGGGACAAGTTGTTTTGTAGTTCAGAGACGTGTTCAGAGAGGTTTTCACAGTGGAACTCAAGCAGCTCTTCAACATCCTCACTCTCCACTGCTTCAAATCTAACTTGTTTTGCAAGATCAACACAATGTTCTCTGATTCTTAGACACTCCTCTGATGGATCAAAGGTTTTAAATACTTGAAAAAAAATCTGGGAGAAGCTTCTGCCAAACTGCATGCAATCAGTACTGACTTCACCCCAGCTCTCCATGATAATGTCAATTGCATTCTTGATGTTAAAGCTTCTCCAAAATTGAAGGACACTGTCCTTATCCCCCTCAGTGGCTGCAATCAGCCTCTTAAATGTGTGCCTTAAATAATAAGCTTTAAAAGCTGCTATTGCACCCTGGTCCATGGGTTGAAGGACAGAGGTTGGAATCGATGGAATTACATTATAGCCAACACAAGTACGCATTTTAGAAATAGCATTCCCTTATTTGTCAGTTGTGTTATAGCCAATTTGCAGTCGGAACACGTGTTATAGCAGAACCTCCTGTGTATAAACAACATTATTTTAATTTATTTTCATGCCAGTTTGGCTCATTAATGGCCAAATGCACTAAAATTTTAAAAAACTGATATACTTACTTGAAATGTCTCGAAATAAAATACTGTTGGAAATGGATCTTGATGAAAAGTTCTGGGTGCTAAACTGTCAGTATGGCCTTCATAGTACAACCAGGGCAGAGTCCTACGCCTGAGAAAAAGTATTTTTCAATGAGTTTGTTACAAATAAGCAGGCTTCCACTGCTGAAGGGCATGAGTAAACCAGATCAATTCTCACATGATAGTTTTATAGTCTTTACTGAGACTTGCTTTCAATATCAAAGTTTTAAAACTGATTTAAGCTATCGATTAAAAATCACCCATTGTAATAGTAGGGGCTGGAACCCATACCCCTCAGGCCAGGCCCTCAGAGTGCTAGCATAGTGAATATCACCATTAGGTCACCAGCTACCTACAAGAAACCTAATTAAGAAAGTTATAAACCTTTCGGTTGGGAAAATAATTAAAATTCATAATTAAAGAATAAGAAATATGGTCTAAATAGAGATCGCCATCGTGGGTTTGTAAAATAAAAGCTGAAAATTCTGGAAATATTCAATAAGTCAGTTAGCATCTGTGGAGAGAAAAAGAAATGATGATTCCGGAACAAAAACAGAAATTGCTGGAAAAACTCAGCAGATCTGGCCTCACCTATGGAGAGAAAGCAGAGTTAACATTTTGGGTTCAGTGACATTTCTTCAGAACAGAATAATGATTCAGGCTTGTGCTTTGCGCACCTATTTGTGACAAATGTGAAATATTCCACATGTTGGAATCTGTGGAGAGACCAATAATATTTAAAAAGATATTTGAATTTCCAAAGAACAATTTGAAAGAATCAAGACAAAATTTCAAGCTTGAAGCCCTTTTCTGGAACAAATAAACCTCAAATTATGACTGTTAAACTGCTTAGCAGATGATTAATACTCTTTTTTGATGGTTAAATAGGTTGGAATTTCAAAGAATGAGAGGCACTTTTATTGAAAGATACAAGCTTCTTAGGGAGGGTTGACAGGCCAGAGAAGTGGTTTCTGCTTGTGGGAAAGTCAATGATCAGAGGGCATAATCTCAAAGTGGTTGCCCATTTAAGCCAGACAGGAAGAGGAACTTTTTCTCTCAAAGGGTAATGAGCCCATGGACTTTTTCCCCAGACAGTTGTATAGAGGCTGGATGAAGTATATTCACAGCAGAGACAGAGAGATTTTTGGTCAATATACAAATTGTGCATTATGGTGAAAGGCAGGAAAGTGAAGTTGAGGATTATCAGATAAGCTATGATCTCATTGAATGGTGGAGTAAACTGGATGGGCTGAATGGACTCCTCCTGCACTTACCTCTTCTTGTCTTGTGAACTGCGTTATTGCCAGGGGAGTTGGCATGGACTTGATAGGCTGAATGGCTTCCCTCTATGCCATTCATGACTCTAACTTTTCCCTTACTAATTAATGTTGCCTTTGGTTTCTACAATGTTTTGATTACAGATGTTACATCTTTATAATGTTCTATTAAGTAATCACTCATGCTGTACAAAAGTTAGATTTTACTTTCTGATAACTGCGTTGTTGTAATTTATTTACATACAGTTAGATACAGCAAGTTGCTAGAAACATAAAGTGCAGCACATGCTGTTCTCAATGTTCCGAAAGTGAGCCAGAAGTTAATCATAAATTGAACCTCTTTTAAACATGCAAACTTGACACACCTGTTAGCATTCAGATCTTAAGGTAATGGTTTCAAGCTCCACAACAGTTTTAAACACAATGAGGTGACATTTTTGAAAGGGTTAAAACTGTTGTTAATGAGGTCTGTGATCATTACACATTTTAAAAAAATTGTTCATGGGATGTGGTCATCGCTGGCTCAGTTAGCATTTATTGCCCATCCCTAACTGACCTGGAGAAGGTGTGGAGAGCTGTCTTCTTGAACTCAAGCCCACAAGCCCACAGCCACTCTACGGCAAACACTTACAAGGATTAAAGACCCCATTCCCACAACATGCAGAACAAACGTGGTTTACAAAATACCATGCAATGACTGCCACAAACGTTACATCGGACAAGCAGGAAGGAAACTAGCTATCAGAATACAGGAACATCAGCTAGCAACAAAACGGCACGACAAACTCTCCTTAATATTGGTACACTCAGACAATGAAGGCCATCAGTTTAACTGGGACAAAGTAACCATAGTAGCCTAAGCCAAATGTAGACATGCACAGGAATTCCTAGAGGCATGGCTCTCCACCAGTAATGCAATGAACAAACACACAGATTTGGACCCCATATACAAACCCATACAGAGCAAAATCAGAAATGACACTATTCACCAGAACGGACCAGACGGAGTAGAATAACATCGCTTCATTGGACGCTCCACTGATGATGTCACCTAGCATGGTGACGAAACGTCTGAACGAGAACAAGCCAGCTCGGCGAGCAAGTCAACAACCTCACCAACAACCTGACCTACAGATTTTTGCCAAAACTTTAAATCCTTGGAGTGTGCCTGCTTTTGTCCTTCTAATTGATAGAGGTTGTCATTTTGGAAGGTATTGTCAAAGGAGACTTGGTAAGTCACAGCAGAGCATCTTGTAGCTGGTACAAACTACAATCATTGTGCATTGGTGGCATAAGGAGTGAATGTTGAAGTTGGTGAATGGGTACCATTTAATCACGCTGCTTTTGTCCTGCATGGTGTTGAGCTTCTTGAGTTGGATCTGCACCCATCTAGATAAGTGGACAGAATGCTATTGCACTTCTGATTTCTGCTTTGCAGCTGGTAGAGAGGCACTCAAATTATTCAAAGAGTCATGCTGCATGGAAACAGACCCTTTGGTCCATCTAGTCCACGCCAACCATGTTCCCAAACTAAACTAGTCCCACCCGCCTGAGTTTAACCCCATCCAAACATTTCCTATTCATGTACTTATCCAAATGCCTTTGAAACATTGTAACTGTACCCGCATCCAATTTCTTTGGCAGTTGATTCCACATGCCAACCACTGTTTGGGTAAAAAAGTTGCCCCTCGTGTCCTTTTTAAATCTTTCTCCTCTCACCTTAAAAATATGCCCTCTAGTTTTAAACTCGCCCACCTTAGGGAAAAAATCTTGCTATTCACCTCATCAATGCCCCTCATGATTTTATAAACCTCTATAAGGTCACCTCTCAACCTCCTACGCTCCAATGAAAACCGTCCCAGCCCATCCAACCTATTTCTATAACTCAAACCCTCAATTCCTAGCAACACCCTATTAAATCTTCTCTGAACACTCTCCAGTTTAATAATATCTTTCCTATAACAGGGCGACCAGAACTGCACAAGTACTCCAGAAGAGGCCTCACCAACATCCTGTACAACCTCAACATGACGCCCCAAATCCTATACTCAAAGGTCTGAACAATGAAGGCAACCGTGCCAAACTCTTTCTTAATCACCCGGATTCACCACAGAATTCTTGGCCTTTAACCTAGTCTTGTAGCCACAGTATTTACATGGCTAGACCAATTCAGTTTAAGGTCAATAGTAACTCTCAGGTTGTTGATAGTGGTGGAATCAGAAATGGGAACGTCATTGAACATCAAGGGCTGACGGTTAGATTCTCTCTTGTTGCAGATGGTTACTTCCTGTTTGAAAGTATGGTGTTAACAAGTAGCTTTGGGGCTAACTGATGATTATCATGATTAAAACTGAGTTGCAGATTCAGCATTTAAATGCTGATTAGAAACTATTTCAATTAAGCAGTATATGTGGGGTCCATTTACTCGCTTCCACTGAAGATGTGGAGTAAGCTGGAAGCAAACAGCAGCACTGGAACACCGGAGCAGTAATAGGCCATTCAACCCCATGACCCCACTCTATCATTCTGGATTGTCACTGATCATCTGCCTTGATGCAATATTTACATATTATCTCCATATCCATTGATATCATTCATAACTAGGGTGGACTCTTCCCAGCCCAGAGCAATGTGGGCACTGACGAGAAAGTTGGGATAATCGTGTAAGAGTGGCAATCATGAAATTCTCAAAGTTGAAAGCAGGAAGTTCCATTCTCCAACCAAGTGTTGAAGGGCAAGTTGAGAATCTCACATTGATGAGAGGCCCTATTGCATCCACTAACATCTGTGGGAAGGGTTTCATTAATAGTCACCACCATCATGGGCTCAATGGGGGAACAGGCAACACAATGTTAGCATGGCTAACCTGTAAGAATGGGGTTCAAGAGGTGACGTTGAGACATGTAGTTGTAATTCAAAGTGGTGCGTAGAAACATTTTAAAGCTCAGTACTGATGAGATCAACAGGGAGTGTCAGGAAGAAAGGAATGTAGAGGTTCTGTGAAGGATCTTGGTTATCAATCCATCACTCTCTCTCAAAAGTATCAATGACTGAATTTCCACAGCTCTGTAGGATGAGAAATTCCAAACACTCAAAGAAGTTCTTCCTCAGCTAATTCCAAAATGGCTTACCTTTTGCTCTGAGACTATGTCTCTTGGTTTCAGTGTCTACAGCTAAGAGAAACCTCCTTTTCCATGTATCTCAATTTCTTTAGGAATTCTGTAAGTTTCTATGAGATAACCTCATTCTTCTAAATTCCGCAGATTACAAGCCCAGTCTTCTCCATCTCTCTTTGTAGGGCAGTTTCACCATTCTAGGAATCAGATTTTTGTAGCAGCTAGTCTTGCTCTGCCTGAATTCATGTCTTCCTCACATTCATTCTGTGGACCAAGGACTTGCAACAAGATGACTAAACAAATACTTTTACCTGGTGACTTGTATAAGGTGTCCAATAAGAGGGAGTAGCATGATATAATAAAACAAAGAACTACAGATGATGGAAATTCAAATCAAAAGCAGAAACTACTGGCAAAATGCATTGGGGCTGGCAGCATCTATGGGGAGAAGTCAGAGCCAATGAAGACCTCTGATGAAGAGTCACTGGACTTGAAACATTAACTCTGCTTTCTCCCCACCGACGCTGCCAAAGCTGCTGAGTTTCATCAGCAATTCTGTTTCTAAGAGGAAGTAGCACATCACTTACTCTTTTTAGATGATGTACTCAGAGAATTTCCAAAATAAATGTACAGAGATTGTATGAAGTCTTACAGCATACCATAATTCTTCTGATGTTTATTAAAAGTCCTGCTGAAATCTCTAGTAGGAACTGAATAGGAAAAATCAAATATACTGTTAAGTAAAGCTCACAATAGTCTGCAACTCAATTATTCCAATCAGCTTCCTGCTTTTCAGAAAGGGCATTGAGTTAAGCACTTTCCATCAAAATATTGTGTAGTCTCTTTATTGAGGACCAATTTAAGGGGTAATCAGTCCCTTATCAAGTCTCCAGGTGGTCACTCCTGTAAAAGCTCCTAGTGGCATTTTTCACTAAACCTGAGTCACATTGGTATTTCAACTTACCTAAGCAATCTTAAATTTTTTTTTAGTGGACTTTTGTGGTGCAGTGCCAGTGTGCAATGCCTAACTCTGAGCCAGGATGCCCAGTTTCAAGTCCCACCTGCTCCAGAGATATGTAATAATATCTCTGATCAGGTGATTAGAAAACATCTCAAGCTTCTATAGTGCCTGAAGTATTTGGGAATAAAAACCTTGTAATCTACGTTATCACGACATTGTATTATCAAGGACTGGCCATGAATGAGTAAAGATAAATCATGTAAGAGTTTATTTATATGGACAGAATTCTGAACAAATGCAGTTGGTGAATATACTTCAATACATATCAGCAAGATGGGGTGATCAGTGATTGGAAAATAGTTTGAAACAGGATATTGGAACAAGATTTAAGTAGGGTTTTGAGTTTGAGTTTATGAAGAGTTGTGGACGATGAAGCATTAAGCAAGTCAAAAGATAATCATAGTTTCAGTAGCAAAGCCACTGAAGTATAAGAGATGCCTGCATGCTGCAGAGATCAAAATGATTCATTCAATAAAATACAGAATTTAAGATCATCACAAGTTAAACAGGAAGGACACCAAGATTCCAAATAGTTAATAGCCTGAAAGAAAGATGAATGGTGTCAGTGACAGAAGTGTGGAGTTCTTGGGTGATATAATCAGACTTCCCAGCATTGAGCAAAAGAAAGTTGTGATTCATGCAAAACTTGATGCTTGACAAATAATCTGATACTATAGAGAGAACTGAGAGAGAGATTGGGCTACGTATTAGTGTATGTGTGAAGGCTGACCCCATGCCTGTGGATTATTTCATTAAGGGGCAGCCTATTAAAATGGGTCTGACCCACTGGCAGTGTTAGTATCAGTACTGTCCTCTAATATTAGAGACAAAACAAAACAGTGGATAATTTCTCATATAAAAAGTAAAATATTATGGATGCTGGAGATCTTGAATAAAAACACAGCATTGGAGAAAATTACCTGTTCTCGCAGCTTCTGTAGAGAGAGGAAAACAATGTTAAAAGTTCAAGTTCAATGATTTCTTTGGGACTGAAGAAGAAAGATAAGACCACAAGATAAAGCAGAATGAGGCCATTCGGCCCATCAAGTCTGCTCTGCAGCAGCAAATTACTGCAGATGCTAGAATCTATACTGAAAACAAAAATGCTGGAAATCACGTCAAGATGATTCTTCAACAGAGCTGTTGAAGAATTATCTAGACTCAAAATATTAGCTTGCTCTCTCTGCATGGATGCTGCCTGACTCACTGTGATTTACACCATCTTTTGCTTTCAGTCTGGTCTGCTTTGCAATTTGATCATGGCTGATATGTTTCTCAAACACATTCTCCAGCCTTCTCCTCATAACCGTTGATCCCCTTACTGATGAAGAACCTATCTATCTCTGTCTTAAAGGTCTTCCAAAGAAGGTTCTGGAGAAGAGTCATTGGACTCAAATTGTTAACTGTTTTTCTCTCTATCCAGTTGTGGCCAGACCTGCTGAGTTTATCTTGCAATTTTTATTTTATTTCAGATAATGTCACATGATGAGTCCCAGAAAAGACACTAATTTTAATACATCATCTTACCTGATGATCAAAATGCTGACTACTCAATGTTAGCCAATGGCAAGTTCTTCCAACTTACCAGGAGGATACTGTATGGATAATTCCAAGGTGTACAGTACTTTTAAATATTGTTTGAAAAAGTCCACAAGCATCATTAGGTAGTGCTGCTATGTTTATTGAATTCATCATCATGACACACATGTTTCCCAAAGCCTGGCAAGCTGTCAGATTTGCAAACCTCTGAAAATATAAAAATAAAAAAGTGTGAAGTAAAACAATAAGCTTTCTAATGAAATGTAATCATTGTTAATAGATCCAATTTAATAAAATTTCACTTACTACATAAGCCTAATTAGTGACATGATAAATAATTGAAACTTAACATTTACTGTACTTGATGTAGGTATATGATACTAAAGGTATTTTATGGATTTTTTTGGCTATTTTAACCAGTTTATTTTGAAAGATAAATGCCTCTGCTAAAGTAGCAAGCTAAGGAATGTTATACAAAGTAAGCTGTAGTTCCTACACTGCAGATTTTTTATTTTGTCATGTTATTTTAATGTTGTCATGTCCATCCAAATAAAAGTTTAAAGGTTTCAATAGCTTGATATTGAATGCAAAAGCTTTGCTATTTAAAATAGGATAGTGAAGAGAGCAGAGATTGTTGCTGGAGAAATTTCCACCAGGGAATCCCCTTATGTTTTGCTAAAATGAACGGAATGTGTCTTTTAAAACTTATTTCTTCAGGGATTCTTGACAACCAGCCTGATTGATTGGCAGGTAGCCTGTTGGGTGGTTAAGCCTGTGATAGAAAATCACAGTGAGGAACAGAGCAGAAGGAGGAAGAGATTGGAGGGATATTACAAGTGGATAGTGGGAAAGACATTATGGCAACTGGGTTGGTTCAGTTGGGGTGGGAGTGGGGGGAACCAATGTCAGACTCCACATTGACTGATCTATTCAGATGCAAACTGGGTTGGAAACAATGAAGCTCATGTGAGTTGTTACTGCGGAAGCGTGTGAGCTCAGACAGATAGATTTTGGTCTCTCAGGGAGTTAAGGGATATGGGGAAGGGATTAGGGAGATGGAGCTAAAGAGCAAGGTCAGTGGACTTTAAATTAACAAGTGAAGCAGGCTTGATGGGCCATATGGTTTATGCTGGTCTTATATCTAGTATTCTTCAGTTTGTGAGATTAGGAGCAAACAGTTAGTTGGAAGCTCTGTGGGCATGGAAGAATTGATGTTCTTAGGGGGCACCAAGGATCATGGAGTTGTAGAAGTGTCAGAAATTGTGGCAAGGCGAGATAAATCAGAGACTGCAAGTGGGATGGCATCAAATACAATGGGGAAGATGTGAAGGAGATCACAGGATGAGGCTTGTATTGTGGGACTGGGGTTGAGGTGGGATAGCTGGGAGGCATAAAAGATCACAGTGGTGGTAGAGATCACAGAGATGGGGATAGCGAGAGATCGTTGCTGAAGAACAGGTGGAATTTGAGATTCCTGAGGTTAAGAAAGATGTGATTAAGGAGGGTGCAGGGTCTCAGAGATTTGGAGGTTTGTTTTGAGAATGGGCTGATCACTGGATATATAATGATGAGGTAAACTTGTTGGGTCGACATGAAATACTCATGTTCTCACTGGCCTCAAGCAGTGTTGTAAATGCACTTGACATTTGCATCAGACTTTTTTTTTTGACTTCTTTTCCTGCTGGATCTGAAAATTCAGCCTCCACTGGTTAGCAATGAAATCCTAACAAAAGGGAGGCAGGAATCCTTCTTTAAAACTATTACTGGTTGTCCCCTGTACTGAGAGCAGACTACTTACACACTTAGCAACCCATATCCATTTTCATGATGTGTTAAAATTGGACATAGATGTATTGGAGGCAGATTGGAGTCAGGTCAAAATTTCACATCCCAAAGTTAAAATCCTGCCAAAAACATTTTTCTACAACTTACCAAACATGCAATCGCTGATGCTTTCAAGTTGCTGGCAAACCAAGCGGACGATATCTTTAAATTCTGTAAAGTTTAATCTGCAGTCTTAGTCAACTTAAAACTAATGCTTCAGAATTGCCTAAGTTTGTTTGAATATTTTAAAATGAAGTTTCAAATTTTGCTCTACATTTTCAGGATGTGCATGCAATAACATTATTTTTAGATTTGTAGCTATAAGTATTACAAGTTTCAGTTGTTTACAGGAAAACAATTTGTTTATGAAAGAGGAATTAAAATAACTACAGAACAAAAATGTTAAAGTTCAGCAAAATGATTCTGAGAAAACTGAAGTATTATTACCCCCGTGTTAATGTTGAAAAGCAGTTAAAGAGATGGGCTTCAGCAAAGCCATAAAAATGCAAAGTATTAAATATTAGATTGTTGGTAGGAAAGCACCAAAATTCATACAGGTGTAGAAATAATTAGGCATTCTTTCACATAAGCAAAATTCCCTAACACAGGCTGCTCGTTTGTCTGGTAGTTTATCCCAACAGAACTCCAACTCTTTTTGCCTCATCTTGGCATTAGTTGATAATGGCCCGCAGCAGCTTTCTCACATTATCAGACTTTATTTATGTCATTTTTATATCAAAGACATCTTGGGCATTGCTTCTTTTGTACTCGTGCATGAGACCACAGAAGTAAATTATATGTGTGAAATGGTTGTCCAAATTTGTTAGGCAGCAATTAACATATGGAAACTCAATGAAGAGACATGTCCAAATTTGTTAGGCAGCAATTAACATATGGAAACTCAATGAAGAGACAATTAGGTAGGTGTTTTTCAGCTGTATTTTAACCAATTTGCTTCATTTGTTTTTTATCTTGGTATTTTAGTCGCAATGAGCTTTGTGTCAATTACACATCCTTTTTGTATTCTTTCTTGCCACTATGGGTTTTACTACTATAATCTCTGAAAACAATGATTTTTTATCATACTAGAAGGACCAACAAAGGTATGTCATGCTGCACAAAGTTGTTCTGTGTCTAATCAAATGGGTTGACCATTCTCAAATAGCCTAAAAATGAACAGTCCCCTGGAGGGTGTCCTCTTGCACTGAAAGTGAAGTCAGTGAAGCTGTCATGAACCATTTTATTGCTTCTTGTCCACATTGTCAAAGCCTGGGTTACACAAAATCACATCACTTTTCACACTTGTCAAGTTTGCCAACGAATTAGTTTGGCTTGTCATTTATGGGGACGTCAGTAGTTGCTGCATGTGCATACAAATCTCACATACATACATTCCCATCAAATGGCAACTGATCTTGAATACACTGCTACATTTTTGCCTACACAAGTGAAATGTTGCTGAATAAAGGCACAAACATAAGAAATAAGAGTGGTAAGAGGCCATTGATCCTTTTGAGCCTACTCCACCATTCAATGAGATCGTGGTTAAACCCTTAGATTAACATGCATTCACCCTACAACCCTTGATATTTGTAGTGTGTAGAAACATATTGATCTTCATTTTGAACATACGAGACATCTTGACATTTCACTTGTGTAGGCAACAATGTAGCAGTGTACTAAAGGTAAGTTGTTATTGGATGGCAATATAGGTGTGTGAGATTTGTATGCTTGAACATGCATGGCCTCTCAGTATTCTGTAAGTCTCAATGAGACTCCCCCTCATCCTTCTAAACTCCATGAGTACAGCTCCAGAGTCCTTAACTATTCCTCATGTGACAAGGCCTTCATCTCCAGGATCATTCTTGTGAACCTCCTCTGGACCCATTCCAACAACAGCACATCCTTCCTTAGGTACGGGGCCCAAAACTACTCACAATATTCCAAATATGGTCTGACTTGAGCATTATACAGCCTCAGCAGAACATTTCTGCTCTTGTATTCTAGCCCTCTTAAAATGAATGTTAACATCGCGTTTACCTCCCCAAATGTCAACTGAACCTGCATGTTAACCTTAAGAGAATTCTGAACTGAGACTCCAAGTCCCTTTGTGCTTCAGATTTCTGAAGCCTTTCTGCATTTAGAAAATAGTCTACACCTCTATTTTTCCTACCACTTTCCCACAAGTTGTTCCATCTGCCAGTTCTTTGCCCACTCTCGTAGCCTGTGCAAATCCTTCAGCAGCTTCCCTGTTTCCTCAACACTACCTGTCCCTCCACCTATCTTTGTGTCATCTGCAACTTAGCAACGGAGTTCTCAGTTCCTTCATCCAGAATGTTAATGTGAATAGTTGTGGTCCCAACAATGACCCCTGCAGAACTCCACTAGTCACCAGCTGCCTTCCTCAAAAAGACTCCTTTATCCCCATTCTCTGCCTTCTACCAGTCAGCGAATCCTCTATCCACGCCAGCATATTTTGACTAAAGGGGCCACTGCTTTCTATCCACCCTGCCCATCATGACAGACATGTTGAGGGGACATAATTTTAATGTGAAAGGTTTTAGAGGGAATATGCTGAAAACCTTTTCACCCAGGAGCTGATGGAAATCTGGAAAGGACGTTTGGGAGGGTAGTTGAGGCAGGAAACTTCACAAAATGTACTTGGATGAGGACTTAAAATGGGCCAAGTGCTGGAAAGTGTGACTAGTGTAGATTTAGAGTAGGTCTGGTCAGTGAAGACTTGATGGGCTTCTGTACTGTATGATTTTATGATTCTAAGAGTTGCCAACTTCAAATACCTAAATATCAATCAGATACAGTGTGAAAGGTACAGAGGGCACAATATTCTTGAACCACATTCACAAGTTTTTTTTTATTCAACACACAAGCCCAATGGGAGAGGATGCAATTCTAGAATTATTCTTAGAAAATGAAGTATGGCAAGTGAATGAAGGTGCAGTGGGTGACCATTTTGTAGATAGCGATCATAATGCAGTTAGATTTAACATTATTATAGAAACAAACAAAAATAGAAGAAAAGTTCTAAACTGGAGGAAGGAAAAGGTTACAAAGCTGAGACATGATCAAAAGAATAGGTGGACTGGTTACAACTACTCAAAGGAATGTCAGTGGCAATTCTGAGGCAGCATTCAAAAGCAAGATTCTACAGGTTCAGTGAGGGCATCCTCACAACGATAAAGGCTGGTACTGCCAAATCTAGTTCTGGTTATCAAGAAGTTTGGCTGATTGGGTAGAAAAGTGGTAAATGGATTTTTATCTGGAAAGTGTGAGGTTATGCATTTGGTGAGGACAAACAAAGCAAGGAGTAATCACAATAATTAAGTATAGGGAAGGGTAGAGAAAGTTACAGACCTGCAGTAGATATCCACTGGTCCCTGAAGGTGGATAAACAGGTAGGTATATTGATAAAGAAGGAATATAGAATGTTTCTCTTCATTAGGTAAGGTATTGAATACGAAAGTATGCTGGAATTATACAGGACATTGGTTAGAGTTGAAATTTTGTGTACAGTTCTAGTCACCATCTTTACAGGAAGAAAATAATTGCTCTGAGAGGGCACAGAGGAGATTTACAAAAGTATTACCAGGGCTTGAAAACTGCAGCTGAGAGAAACGATTTGATAGGCCTAGGCTGTTTTCCTAAGAACAGAGGAAGCTAAGGGGTGACATAATTGAGGTGTACAAAACAAATGAGGGGCTTAGATAGAGTGGACAGGCAAGATCTGCCCCACATACTGCAGACGTCAATTACCAGAGGCACAGATTTAAGTGATTGGGAGAAGAAATAGAGGGGGACTTTCAGAAAACCTTTTTCACTTGGCAAGTAGTGAGTGTCTAGAATTTGCTGTCCAGTTTGGTACTTGAGGTGAAAACAGTCAACCTATTTAAAAGGAACCTAGGTCTGTAGCTAAGGTGCAACAGCTTCAAGACATACAGACCAAATGTCAGAAAGTAGGGTTAGAACGTCTGTTAGTTTATTCAGCCAGTGCAGTTACCGGTACAGGCCGACTGGCCTCTTCCTATGGTGTAACTTATCTATTGTTCTATGTTTCCATAAACAAAGACATGATATCTTTTAATTTTCAAATCTAATGGGATTTTACCCAAGTTCAGGGAATTTTGGAAAACTTAAAACAATGCATAAACTATCTCATTTGCCACTTCCTTTAAGACCCTACGGAGCTTGTCAGCCAGCAGTTCCAACAATGTACTCAAAACCACTAAGTCTCTGGTGATTGTAATTTTCCTGAGTTCTTCTCTCCCAGACATCCCCTGATTTAGCTGCTTCTGGGATGTCACTTGTATCCCCTGTAGTGAAAACTAGTGGAAAATGCCTGCTCAGTTCAAATCTCTTTATTTTCTATTATAAATTCTTGATACTCATTTTTCATAGGATGATTATTCACTTTATCAATGCTTTTCCTTTTTAAAATATTTACAAAACTTTTACTATTTGTTTTTATATTTTTGTCTAGCTTTTTCTCGTAATATAATTTTCTGCTTCTTTTAGTCATTTTTGTATTGCATACATTTATTTTATTTATACATGTTTTTATATTCTGTCCAATCTTCATACCTATCACCTGTCTTTGTATGACTTTATGCTTTTTCTTTATGATTGACACTATCTTTAACATTTCTAGTTAAGCATGGACGGTACATGGATATGGAGTTATCCACAAACGATGATTATTTTCATTTTAAAAAAACTTTATCATTAAAATTATAAAATTGCCATTCCCGATATTGCATGCACAGGAAAGTGCATTCAGATATCTTGATTTCCATCAATATCAACAATATCTTCTCCTCAATCATTGCTAAAAGATATAAGCTCTTATGCATATCTCAGTATACGGTTGCAATGTTAAAGAAATTAGGCCTAGAGTATTCATTTGCTTTATGCACCACTTTTAAGTCTTATAATACTCACCTCTCTATAGATAATATTTGTAACAACTGTAGTAGTCAAGGTTTTTGGATGAGCACGAAAACACAATCCTCCAGTCTAGAAACAAACAGAAACAATATTGGTAATAGATCAGCTGATTATAATTCTTCTCTCGGGTGTGTTCCTCAGTTGAGCATATTATTGTAAATATTCATATCCTGAATTTTAAAAAATGATATTGGAGTGAAACCAAAATTAAAATAGACTTTAAATACTTACGTGATGATACAGTGTATCATAATTATACATGTATTAGTACATTTGATGAAATACCATTGCTATTAAGTAGATTTTCAATCCATAAATTGATGTACAACTTGAGAAATGAGGAGTAAACATTTTACCCTTATTAGTTACAACATAGTTGTGAGATAATTTCAGAATAATATTTTCTTACCAATATGTTTGATTGGCAATCACAAGAGTTTGTGGTATTGATGAATGTTTCATGACATCTGATGCAGCTGGTGGAAGCAGTAAGAAAATTTAAAACATTTTAAGTTAATATTGTGCCACCATGCACCCCACTAATCTCAGTGCACTACCCCGAAATATGCATTTACACTATTCTCCACAGCCGCCAACGCTGCACCAGGCAGACATTTCACCACATTTAGATTGCTTATTGACCAATTCTCTACTGCAAAGAAACACACCAGTTAATTCTCAAGCATCGATTTGGTCATTTTAAGACCATTAGACGATCCACTAGGTTTGCGGTTTCCAGTAAAAACAAAATATCAATTACTCAAACTTCTGGCTGGGCAGAAATGCTTGATCTTGCAATTACATTTACAGGACATACAGGGAACATTCTGCATGTATCCTCCTGCATACAAGCCATACAAGCAAAATTAAGTTATTGAAGAGTTAAATTCACACTTTCAGTTACAATTGGTGGATCATTAAAAGGCCAACCACATAGAATAAATGTTTTTGTAAGTGGTATTGTGTTACCAGCCCCAAGTATACTTGGAGCTAAGCCAACTTTGGATATGTCAATTGTGTCTCTGATTGCACACCAGTCACTCAGTGTTCGTAGGAAACTATCCAGAGCAGATAGAGTTGGGGAAGAACTTTCTGGACTCTGACTTTCATTTCTTAGTCTGTTCTGGGAAGCGTTTTTAGAGAAAAAAAGAAAAGCTCTGAAGTGCTAAGAAGTCTTTCAAGGCAGAAACGTGTTCTAAGCAGCGTTCTCACAAAAAGTAGTTTAATGTAATGTAATTATCATAAAATAAAGAGTTATTATTAATCCCAAACTGGAGTGTGAATACAGTTGGTGGAAAGAAGTGAAATTAAGATTTTTAAAGTTAGAAAAAAAAAGGAAAAGAAATTGAAGCTTTTCATAAATAATATAGCACTGGAAGGAAGCTAAGTCAGGAGTGTGATAATAATAGTAAAGGAAGATTGTCTACAGTTTCAGCATACGAGTTGAAATTTTAATTACTTCAGGCTCTTCAAAGTCTTGAAAAAATACAAAAGAGAAAGAAGAGTCTCTTTCTGTCACACATGAAAATGAGGTGTAACGGATCTTGTTCCAGGAACAGCATCAGATATTCTTAGAATTGCAACAGTTTTTGAAAGCTGAATCAGGGTGTACTGATTCTGATACAAAGATGTTGTTTCTGTTCAATCTTCGAAGAGTGTTTGGGTTATTCCTACTGTAGATTTAAAAATCTTTGAATCTGTGTTAAAGGGGAATTGAATGTGTTTTTTTCTTATTTATCTTCATTTCTGTTGTTAAAACAAAGACCGCAACATTATTTGCTTATATTTTAGTAGAAGATCATTTCAAATCATAATCTATCTAGCCAGTTTCTTTATTGTGGACCTGGCTTATCTGGTACTAGCATCAATTGGACTCTACTCCACAATAACTGAGGTCACTGGATCACAATATCATGCAGTGTAAATTGCTGTTCCTTTGCAATTTGGTATTCTTATAATTTGGGTGAGTGCAAACAAAAAGTTTCCATACCATATCTCTTTTTACGGCAATACTCAGGTTCTGTACTGTATATCTGATATTGAAAACTGATTGCAAAGCAATGCACCGCAGCAGTCCAGCTGTATCATTTCTGTAAGTATATTCTGTAATCTAAAACACCAAGAAACGTTTAAGCTTAGATTATTTTCATGGTGAATGTTATTCTCTGGAAACGGAGTGGTAAATAGGAAGGGTTTTTTTCTAATCCCTTTCGATGTCGATGAGAGAATTACCGAAGTATTGTCTGCCTATGTGCAGAATCCATATGGATGGATAGCAGGAAAAGTAAAAAAGGCAAGCAGCCAAACTAAATAAGTAACATGTGGATGGCAAGTACATCTACATTTCTTCCTGCTTGAATTGAGGGCAAGTGTCCGACAGGTGAACTCCTATTTACTACCTTTATTGGAAATCTACTGTTGAGATCTTATCCATGTTTAAGTTAATTTATGTTTGAAATGCCATATCTTAGCTTACATCAACTCTGAGCAGAGGAGCTCAACTCAATTGGAGTGTGTGTGGTGACTATGGCTTACCAGTATCAAGTATAAAGGACCCAGAGCTGTCTTACATTGTCAGATGTTTATTTTTGTCGACACATGACTCATGAACCAGCTGATTGCCAAAGAACTGAAGTGGGCCTTCTAACTAGCCCACCTAGACATCTGGCCTATTGCTGCTCTGAAACTGCCTCTGGAAAGGGATAGTTCAACTCAATTATGTTTGTAGAGTTAATTTCCATGCAGATGGGTCTGCCAAGTCAGGAACTTTCTTCACTTGAACTTCCCTTCACAATGGCAAAAAGCCAACTCTAAGTTTCCCAAAGTTAAAAATAGCAGGATTTGTTAAAACTGGAAACACTCAAATTCCTTCAAAACTTTTACTGACCAAGCCACCCTGTGAGGAAACTGACCACTTATATCTCAAGTCACCACCAATAAAATCAAAAACAGGCAAATTGGAAAAGGTCTTGACTGCATAAGTCTCACTCGCTTTTTCTTTTCACATAACATGTATTTTTTTTCTATTTATTCAATCCCTCTTTGAAAGGTGTCACTAAATCCACTTTCACAATGCTTTTTAGTTACTGTAGCCCAGGCCATAATAATTCAGTATATAAAAGAAAAAGTTTCTGAATGTTGCCTCTTGATCTTTTGCCAATCACATTAAATCTGCATCCTCCTGGTTACTGGTCCTTCTGCCAGGAATCATAGAATCCCTACAGTGTGGAAAAAGGCCCTTCGGCCCAACAAGTCCACACTGACCCTCAGAGCATCCTACCCAGACCCATCCACCTAGACCCCACTTAATCTAAATATCCCTGAACACTACGGGCAATTTACCCAGGCCAATCCACCTAGCCTGAACATCTTTAGACTGTGGGAGGAAACTGGAGCATCCAGAGGAAACCCATGCAGACAGGGGGAGAATGTGTAAACTCCACACAGACAGTCACCTGAGGCTGGAACTGAACCTGGGTCCCTGGCGCTGTGAGGCAGCAGTGCTAACCACTGAGCCACCATGCAACCCCAAAATTTCTCCATATATATTTAATCAAACATAGTCATCGTCATAGTGTCATACAGCATGGAAACAGAAGTTCTTGATTTTGAACACTTCAATAAAATCTTCCCTTAACCTTTTCTGCCCTAAGAAAAGCTGTTGTTTCTTCAATCTCTCCCCATTACCTCATTGCTTAATCATTCTACTAAAACTCATCTGTACCTCCTCTAAGGCCTTGACATCCTTCCTAAAGTATGTAATGAGGTTATCTGGCAAAACAGATGTTCGGCCATTTGTTCAGCCCGTTTCTGTTATTAAAGCTGTCAGAAAGTCTCATAATGAATGTTTTGCTGAGCTACAAGATTAACTGATGCAATCAGACCTGTAGCAATGTTTTACACAGCTACATAAGGAAGTGCTACGTTTGTTTGATTGACATTTTTATTAAAAATGTTTTTTTTAAGCGTTTTGTCAATTCCTACTTGTTTATTGGGCAAGACTAATAGATGTTTTGAGAATTAAAGCTTTTTCATTGATACTTTGAATGGTTGTATTTGATTTATTATACTGTAAGAAGACAGTTTTTCCCAAGGAGATTTTCAAAATTTGTTCACTTCTGGCAGTTTTAGAGGCATTTCAAAGATTTGTTAATATGGCTTATTGATTTTGTACATACTGAATACTGGAAGAATGGGTAAGGAGGATAGACTGGGGTATTGAAGAAACAGCGGTAATGGAAGGAATATGTAATGAGAATGGGATTATAAGGTAGAGGAAGAGGCGCATGGTATATCAGGGAACATGGACAAGTTATTGGTTTGGTGGAATTGAGAGCACATGAAGGGGAGTTAGGGAATATGAGGGGGCTTGGAGGGTTTAACAGGTTGGGTGGGGAATTGAGGGATAAGAATTAGCGGTCTTAGCAACCAGGACATGGTAAGTCTATAGACACTGAGCTGGCTCTCGGTTGCTAGTAAAATGTTGGTTAGTGCCTTAGAATAAAATTCTACATTTTCTACAAGAATGATGTCTTCTTCTATTGCTCAATTCTTTACACTTTTGTGAGGGCATCTGTCAATCTCCCATAGCCTAGAACATGAACATTCTATTATCATATCTCATCACCATAAGCCTGAATGTATAGGCTTTTTTTAAAATGTTTTTCTGATCTTAATAGTGTTATCAAAGACTTGTGTTCAGTCTCAATCTAGACTTTCAGTGCCCTGAGGAAGTCTGTGTACTTTTCAAATCTGATATAATTACTAATGCTTCCTTCTCTATGGTTGCATAGAGAATATATCCTTGTATATCCTTGTTCTCGTCAAAGCTCTAAAATAGATCAGTCTTCATATTTTGTCAGTCTGCACTAAAATAAGGACTGCTTCTAGTCCTGTTGATGATATATCTGCAGCTGTAAGAGTGAATAAACATGGATTGTAAAATATTAAAACATCAGTAGAAAGTAATTTACCATGAATTCTTCTAAAACTGCAGTTTGTTCCTGACCCCAGCACCATTCATGGCCTTTTCTTTAAAGGATCTCTGATGGGTTGAGTAACAGTGACTGTTAGGGAATACATTTTCACACTTGATTCACCATAGATAAAAATGCTGATAATCATTTAAGCATTGTGTTGCCAAAAATTCACTGTTTACCTTGCCTTCCTTGCATCTATATTGATGCCATGTTCTTGGATCAAAATCCAATTGTCAGTTTAAAGAATTTGTATCTCTTCTTTAGTGTAAGGTCTGCATTCTTTATTGATTTTTATATGTGCCTGATCTGCTGGTCATTTCCTTCTTCATTTTACCATGCACAAGTATATCAAACGTATTGTAAATGGATCTGGAGGAACACAGCCGGCCAGGCAGCATTAGCTGAGCAGGAAAGTTGACAGTTTGGGTCGGGACCCTTCTTCAGAAATTTTCTAAAGAAGAGTCCCGACCCAAAATGTCAACTTTCCTGCTCATCTGATGCTGCCTGGCCTGCTGTGTTCCTCCAGATCCATACTGTATTATCTCTGACTCCAGCATCAACAGTTCTTACTATCCCTTGTAAATGGTTCTGTTATCTTTTCACGATTCAGGACATTGATTATATGAAGGGTGCAGAGGAAACTGCAAATAGTAGATAATTGAATGTAGTCAGTAATCTTGAGTGTTTTGTCAAGCTATAGTTGATTAAAAAATAGATTTCCCTTACTCCTTTAAGTAACTGAATGAGTTCCACACACAATCTTAGTTCTCCATTTGTCTTAGGAACAGTTACAAGCCTTGAGCACCAGCAGGTTTACAAGGTTGATACCTGGACAGCAGGGTTACGTTATGTGGAGAGATTATATAAATTAGGCCTGTTTTCTTTAGAACATAGAGGTTAAGGGGTAATCTGATTGAAGTCTTCAAGATACTAACAGGACAAGACAAGGTAGATTAAGATGAACTATTTTAACTGGTTGGAGATTCTAGAACTAGGAGGCATAGTCTAAATTTTAGGACCGGACCATTCAGGAGACATGTTAGGAAACACTTCTATATACAAAGAGTGGTAGAGGTTTCGAACTCTCTTCCACAAACAGCAATTGATGCTAGATTGGTTGTTAATTTTAAATCTGAGGGAAATAACGTTTTGATAAGCAAAGGTATTCAGGAATTGGGCCAAAGGCAGTTATATGGAGTTAGGCCACAGATCAGTCATGGCCTCATTGAATGGTGGAATAGGCTAGAGAAGCTGAATGGTCTACTCTGGTTTCTATGTTCTTTCACTGGACATATAACTCCTTTTTCAATCATTTCCCACCAAAACAATGAGGAAATTTCCTGCGAGTGTAAAAGCTGATGTTCTCGTGAGTAACGTGGCACTCCTGCTTCAATGACTTAAACATTTGAATAGCTTTAGCAATACTTCATGAAACTGTCTTCTATGCTCATTCTGAAGTATTGCATCACTTCTCTCAAACAGAACTGGATGAAAACATGCATTCCCAATCAAAATGAGGTATTCTAATTTCTGTGTGCAAATAATGTCTCAATGTTCTCTGTGACTAAATCTTGTGGTTATTTGCAAATGCATGTGAAGGCCTATATTTGTTCGACCTTGGAGTTTTATGTTTATTGATCCTACTTACACAGACTTCAACCATGGCAAGCTAACTACCAGTGGTGAACTAGCTTGTCCTGTGTCAAGTGCTGAGATTGCTGCCTCCAGAGCTCTCACGTTTGGCCTTACCGTTTTCCTTCCACATTATCAAATGGTCTATCTGACCCATCAACCCTAAGGACTAATGCACCTGACTGACCTGGGTGAGTATTTGGGGCTTTCCTTCTTACTGTTGAAGCTTTCCAATTATGTTTTTCCTCTCCAGCGTATTGCTAGAATTCAAAGTCTTCTAAGGCTCTTTTCTATGCCTTTTGGAGTCTTTCTGCACTGTCGGTTTGTTACCAAAGTCTTCTGAGGTCTTTCTTGTCAGTCTCTGGAATGTTCTCCTTCTCAGTTTTTTTTTTATTCTTGAAGCATTTTGAGGTCCAGCAAATGGCTTCCAAATCTTCCCTCTTTAAATTCAGCTACACCTTCGAAGTCTTCCCATGTTCACTATTGCTTTCAGAGTCTTCCATTTTCAGTAATAGTAAGGCCAAATAAAGAAAGATATCTGGGATTTTCCAGTCAGCCTCCAGTTCCTCCAGGTTGCAGTGGCTAGTTTAGGTGCCTGAAGCTGGTGTCCCTGCAGCAGTCTGGAGGGTGAGCACTCTAAGAATGACTGAAGGCCTTCACTGGCTGCAGAGATGCATGAATAGTCTTCTCATCACCAACCCTACTCCTGCCCTCCAGTGACCAATCCATTTCTTAATTTCAAGCTTAAAATAAATTGGCAGATGAGAACCTTCGTCTTGAAGCTCCCTCTCTCTTTGATTTTGCCTTAAACTACCGGCTGCTGCTTTCAACCTACAAAGGTGTCTGATCGGCCCTGCTGCTCTTCAAAAAAAAAAAAGAGGTACCAATTTAAGACTGAGGCAAGGAGGAATTTCTTCTCTCAGAGGGTTGAGTGTCTTTGGAACTTCTTGCCACAGAGGCCTGTTGGGGAAAGAGTCCTTGCTTATATTTAAGGCTGAGAAGAATAGATCCTAGATCGTTTGGAGAATCAAGGGTTATGGGGAAACGCAGTAAGTGGATGTGAGTTATGTAGTATTCGCCATTATCCTATTGAATGGCACAGCAGGCTGGAGTGACCGCATGGCCTACTGCTATTCCTATTTCTTATGGTTTTAATAGGATCGAGAATCTGACTGCAGGTTACTTAAGATGAAACCCCTGTGAAAACCCCGTCTCTGCCAACAATTGCCACCTTTGCTTCATCTTCCTTGGATGGAACATTTGGGGCTCTAGCTTTGCTCTATCTGTACTTTGCATCTTTCCCTTTTCCTGTTGCGTATAGCATTGATGACATAGAATTACTGAATTACTTTACTGTATCTGCTCTTTGATCTATTGATACTGAACAGCAACACATTTGGTCAGACTGGATGATGTGATAATTTTGTTGATTTGCATCTTTCTAATGGATGGCATGGATTCACATGTGATTCCCTTACTTGGCAATAAAGCCATACAGGAAGCAACCAGTAATAAAGTGCGCAATGGAGTCCAGGGAGTAGGCTTACAACACAATTTCACTTTAAAACTAAATATAAATTTCAATAGGTGCATAACTGTTAATTTTTATTAAATGCAAGAATTTCAGATTTTCCTTACAATTATTAACAGTACATAAAATGAATGACGCAAAATGAACTGTAATGCTTTCAGTCTTTTCCCTCACTCTCATCTCCCTTATAAGTATTTGAAACAAGCTATTATTATCTATTCACTTCAGTGTTTGCAGTTGGTGCAGTTAGCTGCTATCACTCTATCTGTACTTTGCATCTTTCCCTTTTCCTGTTGCGTATAGCATTGATGACATAGAATTACAGAATTACTTTACTGTATCTGCTCTTTGATCTATTGATACTGAACAGCAACACATTTGTATTTGAGTTATTGTGTCTATTAACCACAGAAAAAACAGTGTTTTCAGGGTTTTCCGTCTCATCAAGACTGACTATTTATTACAAAATTTACTGTGCAATCAAGCTATTATCGTATACAATGGAAAGTTGTCATTTTCCATAGAGTGAAAACGCTTTGGAATGCTTTGCGTTGCCT